GAAAGGCGTGCAGAAGCTCTGCCTAGAAAATGGGGAGGAGTCCTGGCGGAGAGAGATAAGCCAGGGTAGACCAAACGCCATCCACGTCTGGCAGAGGCAGCGCGCCGTTATCGTTTCTACCCCAGACAACGTGATCGACTGTAAGGGATTATTACACAAGACGGCTCCAGAATTTTGGAGCAGGCCCGACTGTAAGGTGAGAAATGTCGTTTCTACAAGCAAAGAGGAATTTAAAAGTTTAGGAGGTCATCCATCATCTGTAATGAGTCATAATCAGCGAATGAACTGCAGAGGATGTACCTTATCACTTGGCCTATAAAAGCTTCTGATCCATGGGGTAAAAAAAAACACACTGAACTTTAATAAGCACTCAATTATAACAAATAAACCCAAACACCTAATTACCAAGTAACTATTTATAGTTGCTAAAATAACTTAACCCAGTTTCACAAAGCACATATTTTAAGATTCATAGAAAAATCCTGCCCAGTTCCAGCATTCGATACTACATTTATTTGGCTTGCACCTAGAGGATCAAGAGATCTGTAACTCTAAATTACATTATTTGTACCGTAAATTCAAAGAGAAATTAGTCTCATTTACAAACAGCAATTACTTATAACAGAAAACTGAATTGCAAATCTAAATTGTTAGTTTTGACAAAAATCCAAAGCCTGGTTAAAGGAACATTGTGAAGCTGAGAGAAGAGACCACGTGTGCTGTCAGCAATGGCTCAGTTTACTTAAATGGTTTCACAAGACAAGCTAACTTCCCAAAAAACTCTTTATTCTTCTCTAATTTGGCCTACTTTGTATTTCTCATGTCCTGTTCAAATTCCTCTCCCTGAGGAGGGGATGTCCCTATTAAAACAGCACAAAGAAGGAAAAATCTGTAATCTGTACAACAAAAAAGAAGAGACTTTAAAGCTCAAATTTTTTAATTTAGCGATACATTAAAAAATAATAAAAATAAGGAAACCAAATGTCAGAATCAGAGTGGATTCTGAAGACCACTATGAAACATTAAACAGACATTTAATCCATCTAGGGTAGTCATGTCCAACACAGCAGCTATGAGTCACGGCGGGGGGGGGGGGGGGGCAACTGGTTTAAATTTAAATGAATTAGGATAAAAATTAAAAATTCAGTTAAAAAGTCACATGCATCACACTCCAAGTGCCCAGTAGCCACAAGTGACCAGTGGCTTCCACACCGGATGGCACAGGTATATTCTGTTATGGAAAAATGTCCTGTTGGCAGTGCTGGCCAACCCATCACGGTCACATTAGAGAAGCTGAGGCCCAGGAGGTCACGGGTCAACCTGCTGATAAACCAGGAGCCGACCACTGAGCACCGGCTGTTCCCTCAGTCACTACGCCCAACGTGAGCCCAAGATCCACGCAGCTGGAGCTTTGTCTGCCGAGTTTAGAGTCAGACACACACCCAGCACATCCCCACCCAGGAGATGAGACCCTGACAAACGGTAGGTGGGTGATGCTTTGGATGAAGATATGAATAAATGACTGTAATACTTCTGGATACAAAATTACAAGATGTAGTCCTCAAAATTAAGAAGCCCAGAGGCTGGTTAAGAATTTCTCTAAGATATAGGAAGACTTCCCTACTTGGTTGTATTCTCAAAAACACCACATTAAACACCTATGCACACAAAATTTTCTTTAGGACAGAGTCTCAGACATGAAACTGCCCTAAATACCCAAGAATGAAATCATGCTATATCTTTATAATGAGATAGCATGTCATCTCTTCTTAGGCCACCATGTCATCCCTTCTTAAAGAGATGGGAATACCAGACCACCTTGCCTTCCTCCTGAGAAATCTGTATGCAGGTCAGGAAGCAACAGTTAGAACCGGACATGGAACAACAAACTGATTGAAAATTGGGAAAGGAGTACATCAAGGCTGTCTATTGTCACCCTGCTTATTTAACTTCTATGCAGAGTAATCATGCAAAATGCCAGGGAGGATGAAGCACAAGCTGGAATCAAGACTGCTGGGAGAAATATCAATAACCTCAGATATGCAGATGACACCACCCCTTATGGCAGAAAGAAAAGAGGAACTAAAGAGCCTCTTGATGAAGGTGAAAGAGGAGAGCGAAAAAGCTGGCTTAAAACTCAACTTTCAAAAAACAAAAATCATGGCATCCAGTCCCATCACTTCATAGCAAACAGATGGGAAAACAATGGAAGCAGTGACAGACTTTCTTTTCTTGGACTCCAAAATCACTGCAGCCATGAAATTAAAAGATGCTTGCTCCTTGGAAGAAAAGCTATGATAAACCTAGACAGTGTTTTAAAAAGCAGAGACATTACTTTGCTGACAAAGATATGTCTAGTCAAAGCTATGGTTTTTCCAGTAGTCATGTATGGATGTGAGAGTTGGACCATAAAGGAAGTTGAGTGCTGAAGAACTGATGCTTTTAAACTGTGGTAGTGGAGAAGACTCTTGAGAGTCCCTTGGACAGCAAGGAGATCCAACCAGTCCATCCTAAAGGAAATCAGTCCTGAATATTCGTTGGGTGGACTGATGCTGAAGCTGAAGCTCCAAACTTTGACCATCTGATGTGAAGAACTGACTCATTGGAAAAGACCCTGATGCTGGGAAAGATTGAAGGCAGAAGGAGAAGGGGATGACAGAGGATGAGATGGTTGGATGGCATCACTGACCTGATGGACATGAGTTTGAGCAAACTCTGGGAGTTGGTGATGGACAGGGAGGCCTGGCGTACTGCAGTCCATGGGGTCGCAGAGTCGGACATGACGAAGCAACAGAAAGAACTGATGTCATCTCTAGAAATTATGTTGGCAAAGATTTCAGTTTCACAGATAAGCACTTATGAAAAAAGATCAGGTAAAAGAGCTAAACACAAAACTGGGATTATCCCACATACAGAAATTATCCCATGTGATGTGTACGCACATATGTGCATACATGTGTGCATGTGCATACTATACAGTCAAGAGAAAACAGAAAATACAAGCAGAAGAATGTATATCCAACATACTGGTATTAGCAGACAAGAACTTTAAAATAATCGTGATTGTTGTGTTTAAACATAGGAAAAGACAGACAAAAAGAATGAGACAGTGGAGAATGTTAAATATTAAATTGAAACACATTATTAAATATGAAATGGACATTCTAGAACTGCAAACACAAAGTTTGGAATTCAGAACTCACTGGATAAGATTAATAGGAGATGGAACAGAGTAGGAAATAGGATCTGTGATCAACGAGACAGGCCTCCAGAGAGGATGCAAACCATGGCAGAGAAAGAGAACAGGAGAGTGAACAGCAAACAAGAGCCCCAGAACCATGAGGACACAGGAGACAGGACCAACTCCTGTGATTCAACCCCAGAAGGAAAGGAGCCAGATGACAAAGAGACATACATGAATCAGTGACTCAAGAATTTTCCAAAACAAATAACAGATACCAACCCAGCGATTCAAGCAGCTCAGTAAACTCCAAACAGAGTTCAGTATGAAGAAAACTCACAACTAACCACACAGTTAATTAGTTTCAAACCACAGAGAAATGGAAAACCAGAAAGAAAAATCTTAAAAGCAACCAGAGTAAAAAGTTCCCACTACCTTCAAAGGGGCAACAAGGCTGACAGCTGACGTCTCCACAGAAGCCTCAGAAGGCAGAAGAAAATGAAACGAAATGTTTAAACTGATGGAACAAAATACCGAGCAACCGAGTGAGTGTGCTGCTGAGGGCTGGGGAGAGCACGGAGCATGGGGAAGGAGGGGGAGCACCCAGACGCAGTGACCTAGGAACGCCGCTCAGTGATGAGGTGACAGGGGTCCCGCTCACGATGTCCACTCCACGGCGTGCACGGCTGTCTCAGAGACTCCTCAGCGGGTTCTCAACACAAGACTGTAAGAGGCGAAAAGGGAGAGGACCAAAGAGGGAGGGAAAGAAAAAAGGAAAAACACATCTGCATCAGAAGAACAGGGAAGATCAAACTAACACAGCAGAGGGACGCACACACGCACTCCGACCTCCCCAGGTGTGCGCACGGGGTGAGGGGAGCACGGGGCAGACAGCCCGGCCTGCGGCACCACGCGCGGAGCAGGCCACACGAGCCCCCGGACAAGAGGTTCGGCTCTCCCGTGCAGAGCTCTCGGCACGGCCAGACAGATTGGCAACTCAGGGGTTAATGCTGCCTTAACCTCCACTAAACATCAGGCTGGCTGGAGATGCACCTGCAGTGGCTGTGGATTCAGCTCGGAGAAATGCATCTCCTCTTAGACAGCATGAAACACCAACGTCAGAGCCCTCAGCAAACTACCTTTCTGTCGACGCCACACATTTAAAACCACAGCGGTGACATGAGAAAAGTCATCTGAACTGAAAATGCCCTTAATTTTCTCTGACTTCCCATTTCTGTCCTTTCCACATGGAGATGGCTGGAATCATCCTCCTTTGGAGGTGGTGGTGGTGGTTTAGTCACTAAATTACATCTAACTCTTTGTGACCCCATGGACAATAGCCCGCCAGACTCCTCTCTCTGTGGGATTTCCCATGGAGAATACTGGAGTGGATTGCCAATTCCTTTTCCAGGGGATCTTCCTGATCCAGAGATTGAACCCAGGTCTCCTGCATGGGCAGGCAGATTCTTTAACACTGAGCCACCTGTGAAGCCCCTCCTTGGGAGTAAAACCCCAAATAACATGCTTTAAATTTCTTAACAGAAACTCAACTTGTTTCTACCAACATCACCAAACACCTATATGTCACTCACCCGTGAGTCACTCCCAGGCTTGACCTGAATCTACCTACCATAAGCAGGAAACCCCCCCAGGCCATTTAAACACAGGAAACAGGCCGACGCACAAGGAACGGAGCATCACGAGGCCAGCAGGAGACGGTGAGCCCCCTCAGGACTTGGCTGCTCCCACCTTTCATCCCAGGGGACGCTGCGAAGATGAGGCGTCAGCATAGTGCAGAAGGCGGGAGCAAGAGCCACAGATGGCCAGCGGCTGCTGGGGCGGGGCCATTCTCGACAGACAAGTGGACACAGAGATCAGACAGGGAAGAGCCGTATTTGCAGCCCTCACCTGGGGCCCTCCACTCTCCCCCAGCGCCTCTCATGTCCACCAGAAGTCAGAGCTGAGCAACGCCACGTGGGGCGGCTCCAACGGCCACCCTGAGGCTGCGCTCTGCTTCCGCAGAGCCGGTGACACAGACCCGCCCTGAGATAGCCCCCGCAGTCAGGCCTCTCCCTGCGCCCGGCCCCCGAGTCGAGGAGGGCCAGCAGTGCGGTCCACCTGGACCGTCCTTCTGAGCTCCCCGAGCAACACTGGGATGCGCTTAGCTTCCGCTGGGGACTCACAGCAAAACAAGACCGAACCAAACCATTCCTGCATTTTTTTAAAGCCAACGTTAAATTGCTTACCATCCCTCATTCTAAAATTCCTAGACAAACTCCCCCACAGGAAAAGGTTTCTCTCTCCTGAATGGTGACAGTCACTTACTGATCACAGCCTCTTCCCTTTTCATCGCGGGGCCTCTAGGCTCCATTTCAGATTCACGTGGACCCGCGGAAGCTATGCTTGGGCTTCCCTGGCGGCTCAGAGGGCAAAGCGTCTGCCTGCAGTGCAGGAGACCTGGGTTTGATCCCTGGGTCGGAAAGATCCCTGGGGAAGGGAATGGCTACCCACTCCAGTATTCTTGCCTGGAGAATTCCATGGACAGAGGAGCCTGGCAGGCTACAGTCCATGGGGTTGCAAAGAGTCAGACATGACTGAGCAACTAGAACTTTCACTTCAAGCTATCCTTAGCCTAGGTTTCCTGCCATATTTAATTTTCTTTACTAGCAACCACAATGACCAATATAGCCAAGAATCAGAAAACAAACAGAAAAGTCTTCTGCCAGCCAGAATGCTGTCACAAAATCCATGCACTAAAGGTCCCAGACTCTGAAACCAGCCTGCCTGGGTTAAAACAGCTACTATGAACAAGTGTCTCACATGTTCAAGATAGAAGAAAACATAAACATTATGAAAAACATAGAAGATGTAAGAGACCCAAATGGAATGCAGATGTAAAATAGACTATCTAAAATGAAAAATCACCTGATGTGATTTACAAAGTAGATATAGCAGAAGGGGGAAAAAGTGAGTGAAAATGAACATACATTTTTTAAACTATCCTGGAAGAGAGAAAAAGACTGCAGAAAATGAACAGTGCATCAGGAAGACATGGGACACATTAAACAGACTAACAAACATGCAACTGGGAGTCCCAGGAGAAGGCAGAAAATTATTTGAAGAAATAATTACTATTTCTTTGTATTTGATTAAAACCTATACTCACTATTGCAAGAAACTCAATGAAACCAAAGCAGACAAAAATATAAAGAACTCAACCAAGACAAATCATCAACAAATTGCTGAAAAGAAGTGTTGAAGAAAAAAACCTGAGAAGTGGTCAGAAGAGGTGGGGAAAAGACAATTATACACAGAGAAGTGGTCAGAAGAGGTGGGGAAAAGACGATTATACACAAAATTAAGAAGGACAGCAAACTGATTATCAGAAACTATGCAAGGCAGGACACAATGGAACATATTTAAAGCATGAAAACAGGCAACAAGGGTCAATCTAGAATTCTGTGGTGGGCTGCAGTCCACGGGGTCGTGGAGAGTCGGACACGACTGAGTGACTTCACTTTCACTTTTCACTTTACTTCATTGGAGGAAACGGCAACCCACTCCAGTGTTCTTGCCTGGAGAATCCCAGGGACGGAGGAGCCTGGTGGGCTGCCATCTATGGGGTCGCACAGAGTCGGACACGACTGAAGCGACTTAGCAGCAGCAGCAGAATTCTGTGAGAGGCAAAATATCTTTCAAGAATGAAAGTGAAAATAAAGCCTTATTCAAAAACAAAAAAAGGTAAGCCAATTCATATACTAGCAGACCTTTATCTGAGAAACATTGGTGCAAGTTCCATAAGCATAAAAAAGGACTGCCAGATGGAAATTCAAATTTTCCAAGAGTGAAGAGCATGCAAATGGTAAGTATGCAAATAAATATAAAAGTGTTTTTCCAACTTTAATCTCTTTTAAAAAAATTGACTGCCTAAAACAAAAATAATAAAAGTATATTTTGGACTTTATAACATATGTAGAAATAAAACATACTAAATAAATATAATCTCCCCAAAAATAGGATGAGAGAAACTGAAATATACTCATGGAAGGTTCTCACACTGTACATGACGATGAATAATATGATGTGAATGCAGACTATGATGAGCTAATTATGACCATCACACACCCTAGAGCCAATGTAGATGCATGGTACATTGAAATCATTTTTAAAATATATTCAAGTAGTCTGAACAAAGGCAGGAAAATGGAGGGAGAAGAGTGAAGAACAAACAGAACAAGGAGAAAACAAATATCAAGGTGGTGCCCTTGAACCCAACCACACTGGTAATTACATAACATGTCAGTAGTCTGAATACTTCAATTTTAAAAAGACCTTATGATTAACAATCTGTCTACAAGAAACATGTGTTAAATGTAAAGATAAAATGTGAAAGAATGGGAAAACATTCACCATAGAAACAGTAATGGAAAGAAAGCTGGAGTGGCTATATCTGAATATCAAACACATAATTTCTAAACAAGGAAATTGCTAAGACTAAAGGCCATTAACAGTAAAAGGGTTAATTCACCAAAAGGACATAAAAATTCTAAATATGCATGCACCTAATAAAAGACTTTGAAACAGATGAAGCAAGAACAGAGAATACAATAGGAAACAGACAAATCTCCAGCAACAGTTGGTGATTTCAACACTCCTTTCCTATAATTTATAGAACAGGGAGACAGAAAAGCAGTAAAAATATATTAAATACAATACTTGAGCAACAAAAAATGTTTAGTGTTGCTTAAATGAATTAGTAAATATTTAAAACTTTTTCAATGTTAACTTTCATCGGGGTATTGATGTATGACTCTGGAGTCTCCAGGAAGTTTTAGGAGTGCAAAGTTGCCGAGCCCAAGCAGTGACAGGAATACAGGCATAGAGGGAAGAGTCCTGTGATCTTGCCCTGCCCACTCCACCTGCTCTCTCCATCCAGAAAACCCAGGGCCTTTCAGAACCCGATCACCCACCTGCAAACACGGGGAAGAAGAGAGGTGCACACCATTTCTCCACCCGACGCCCAGGTCACAAGGAGAGGGACGTGAGCACACCCTGTGTTATCAAAGGAAAATGCCTATTTGCCCCATCTTTCTAAACACGGGCTACCACCTCCACCTCTACCATCACCTGCACAAACTTTTCCACAAAAACCTGATTACAGTCTCTCTAGGAGACTTCCTCCTCAACCACCACTACAGAACTTATCACTATTTCAGCTTAAAGCTGGAAACAAGGAGGGTGAAGAAATAATGCTTTGGTGGAGCAAGTCAGTGTAGGAACATGAAAGCAGTTAAAACTCATTAGGTTTCTGGTCAAGACGCAAGACCGCCGTCCCCCCAGAATCAAGCAATCTATTCTAACTGGGTTCTCATGGTCACTGTACAATTGGGCCCTTCGATACAACATCCCGAAGGCCCAATGCACACCTGTAAAATACACTTTGAGCAGCCTGAAGTGTTTTTATGTTACGGCGCTCCCAGATCGATGACTGCACGTCCCCGCCCTGCCCACTGGGGGCGGGGCACGCGGGGGGCACCTGTGGTATCAACACAAGTCCCGTAAGGGACACAGGACACCAGAGCAGGCGTATAAAACGGGTCACCTGCTGGAGCTCCATCCAACCTGCTCTGGGGACAAACCGATACTACGATTGGCACAGAACCCCGTTTACAGACTGTACGCCACACCACGAGGCCCCTCTCATTGATTTCAAGGCTACACAGAATCAATCGCCAATAATTACAAGAGGGCCCTCAAGGTTAATCATATTCTTAGACTCTCAGTATGGAACTACACGACAAGCATAGCTGTGCTGATAAATAAAACATCACTGAGGATCCAAACCCGCAGTTCAGGTGTTGACAATACGGTATTAGGCACAGCACACAGCCCCGCCCCGGAGCCCAGCCTCTCCCCGGCACACAGCAGTCTCTCCCAGCCACCGCTGGGCCCCCGAGTGGGCCTGGGAGCAGAGTGCCGGTCATCCTCTGGACACATAAACGGCCGGAGCTCAGAAATGGTGAAAGTTCACAACTGCAGCGTTCCTTGCAACAGTCCTAAAAATACCCACACGTTTGAGGCATCCTGCAGAACCAACAACACATACGGTGGTTTCTGGCAAACTGGCGACCTGGGCAGACGTAAATCTAAGTCTCCCACTGTTATTTACTACATTCCCCCCTTGATGGCCTCAGTTGTAACATGGGCCAGTCTGGTGCAAGTGTAGGCCAGCAGGCTTCCAGGGAGAAATGCCGTGCTTAGTCACCAACTCTACAGAGACCTCCAAAAATCGCCAAGACACCTTAGCATGAAAACGGCAAACTGCATGGTTCTTAGGATCCTCACCAGAGCCCAACAGAATGACCACATGCTGCTGCTCAGTTCCAGCAGGAGCAGCGTACGAACTGACCCAGGATTGAGAAAAAACAAAAAAGCAACAGAAACTCCCAACCGACCAGCTGCGGCTGTAGGCCAGTACTACTACCCCTCTTCGTGCTTAAGAAACCCAGTCATCCGGTATTTACTCCAGTCCCACCTCCCAGCTTCCCTCAGGGCCTGGGGCCCTGACTGCTTTCCAGCAGGGTCCGCCCGGCACCAGGATTAACACCAGGCCTGGCCATGGTCCACTGGTCCTCTGGTGTCTTGACCAAATCTGCCAGATTTCCTTTCTGAAACCTCTGGGACCCTGGTAAGAAGACTTGGGTCTCTGTTCATCCTGTTTTCTTTTATTCTGATAGATACATCTTTCGGGATGCCAAGAGCTAAACCTGCAAACAGTCCTATTTTTGAGCACTGATTACCAAGTTATCTTTATCTCTAAATGCCAACTTCATATGCAAACCCCTCATGAGTTCTGTGCTTTTGAAGTAACATTATTTAGTCTGCACCTCACCTTGTATTAGTTAGATCAAGCTGCTATAACAGAATATCACATACTAAGTGGTTTAACAGACAGAAATTTATTTTCTCACAGTTCTAGAGACTGGCAAGTCCAAGATCAAGGTTCCAGCTGATTTGGTTTCTGGTGAGGGCTCTCTTCCTGGCTTG